GTGTGTGTGTGTGTCTGTGCTCCTCAGCGTGCTTCAGTGTTGAAGGATGGACAGGGAGCTGGTTCGGCAGAGCCAATCAGATCACGGCGAGGCCACCAATGGAACGAGCCCTCCGACCGCCGCTGAGTCCTCCGCCACCCCTCCGACCCCCACGCCTCCTCGGCTTACCCCCAACCCCATGCTCCTGGACTCCCCCGCACCCTCGCTGACACCCACCACCTCCTCCCCTCCCCCGCCTCTCACTCCCGCTCCCTCCATCACCACAAACCATGGACCAAAGGCGGCAGCAGCAACGGCAGGCGCTCCGTCTCCTCACGTCCTCGTCCCGACTCCCCCTAAACTTACCTCCACCCCTGCCCCCGCCCTCCGCACATACTCCCGACACAACCATTCTTCCAAAATGTCTTCCTCCGTGCAAACCCCCCCTTCCCCCTCCCTTCTCCCTCCCCCTTCGTCCTCCTCCTCTCCTGTCGTAGCGACCGCTCCTTCACCACTCCTCTCATCCTCTCCAACTTCTTCTGCAACGCACAACAACACCACCATGTCTGCCAAGATCTCCACCAGCCTGACCAACGGGAGCGCTAGGGTCCTCTCTGCAACCTCAACGCCAATCACACCGTTTCACACGCCAGCCAGTCCACCTGGCAGACAGGTAAAGGTCACACAGACCCCCACATAGAGAAGCAGGAACACGTCTTTCATTTAGAAACACTTAGAGACATTTTTGCTGGAGTTTGTCCAGTTTGTCTGTATTGGATCTTTGCTCTTTAAACCATATCTGTGTTCATACATTGCACCCATACAGAATAAGGACGCACGTCTCCACCCTCTCATGACCACATCCAAGAATCCCACCATGACAGTGGCTAAAACGTTAACTTCGAAAAGAAAACCTGTGATGCCTCTTTTATGCACAGTCTCTGGGTTACATAAGGAGAGGCCACCTACTGGCTGTATTCATAAGACTGACAGCAGTCATTCAACAGGCTGATAACATTAGGACCAAATCATTTTTAGCTTCGTCTGAAAAAGACGCAGTAATTTAATCTGAGAAGACGAGCCTGACGCAGAGGACGGATGTAAATAAAACAGCTTGAGCTCAAAGTTTTATCTAGCCTTCCTGCACTCGTGATGTTTACTTGTACTGCCATCTTTACAGAACGCACAGCGAAGACTCAAATCACAGTTTTCACTCTTTGGATTTGGTGCAAAGGTGCACAAAGTTGATAGCTAGTGCTAGCTTTGTTAGCAAGCTTCATCCATAAAGTGAAGCTACAGTAAATAAAAATGCAGGTACAGCACATGACAGTCAACCGGCTTAAATGACCGAATCTGTATTTTATTCATATTTCTGTGACACGTGGTGTGTGAGAATAATTTAAGCTGAGTTTCATTAAATGTTGGAACAACTGTTGAAAGCGACAGCTGACCTGAACAAACGGATTTAAAGAGAAAGATCAGGTGTGAATAATCTAAATGTAAGAATGACAGACAGCTCGTGAGACGAAGCCTCGGACCTTTCACCTGTCAGGCTCCATCTGGGTCAGTGTTTGACTGTTTGGGGTTACAGTTTCCTCTTTGTTTGCTTTCATCTGAGTGCGTTTCACATCCTTACACTCGGGTCTCGCTCTCTGTTAATTCAGTGAGTAAACAGGCTGAACTGTGAGCGAGCCACAGAGACGCTGGCGTTCACACTCTGTATGCAGGCGTTGCTGCCAGATACAAAAAGCTGCACAGTCTGCGGTTCCTCACGTTAGAGCTTTAAAGACACGAGCTTGAGATGAGCACGAAATCAGAAACTTCAATCCCGGCTGAAGCTGTTCTCAGAACTTGTCATTAGCTGGATGTCAGCAACAGAAAAGGACAGTTACTGATACCCGATGGCCACCGCTGCGATTTTAAATGAAACAATCGACCGATTGTGATTGAAGTTCAGACTTTCCGCTTAATTCGAAGCTCAACAGAAGTAAGTTTGTGTCTTTCTTCCTTTAGTAACTGAAAAGCTGCTGTGTCGGGTTGAGATCAGGTGCCCGACGTGGCCGTTGAAGAGGATCACGTTTCTCTGCACTGGGTCACTTTTGTGGTCCGGCTCATTGTCCGTCTGCGCTCCGATGCTCTGTCCGATCAGCCCTGCAGCGTTTGTCTGAATCTGAGCAGAGGCTACAGCCCGTACACTTCATCCCGCTGCTTCTATCAGCAATCGCGTCATCAGTAAACACTCGTGACCTGCTTCCACTGCCAGCCGTGTGCGTTTTCTGGTAAACTCTGGCTCCTGTTCTTGAGTGTACCCAGTGGTTTGCACCCTGTTGGTGTAAACCCTGTGACGATGATCCTCCCTGAGAGCGTTCTGTGGTCTTTAAAGTCTCGTAGTGCTGCTGAGCTGGCCGATGCACCACAATGTTGATTTTTTCTTTCTGTCTGATGGGTTCATTTGTTTTATTTGGACTTTCAGTCGAGTGATGGCCTGTTTGTCTCGCACTGACATTTATTCGGACCTCGTGTTGAGAGTTCCTCTGAAAAAGCAAACAAATGCAAATGAAACACTTGCATTTGGTGGCCGTGAAAACATATTAAACAGTTGTCTAATGAATTCTGAGCCTCTGAAAATGAGCGACTGTGCATTGAAATGGCTGTAATTCCTGAATATTTGAGGGAATACTTTTATTAAACCCCTTTAATTCAAGTCTGAACTTCTGATTTAAAATCCACTCCTTTGCCTAAAAACATGCCAAACAGTTTCTGACAACAAATTTTAAAAACCAGTATTTTAAATCTTTAAATTAAACCTGATAGATGAGATTAAAGAACTATAAACAGATGTGAGCTGCCTGGTGGAGACAGTTTAATCTGCTTGGATGAAGCTGTCCATTGTTAAAGTATTCATTTAGTGTTTTTCTTTGTTGAAAAGAAGCATTAAAACATTTTCATTGTTTACTCTTTTGGTTTCCACCCAAACACACTCGTGACTGCTTTGCTGTTCGAGGAAATATCACAAAAAGTCATCCCTGCTCTGAAGCACTGCCTTAATTGCTTCCCTTCCCCCCTCTCCTGCCTCTGTTCCAGGTATCACAGACTCCTGTGGGCACACCTGGTCTTGTGCGAACCAATCAGAACCCTTCCCCTGTCAGGCATCCCAAGGTGTCCCAGCAGACATTGCTCCTAGGAAAAGGTCTCAAAGGGACAGGCCAAGACCAAGTGTTGCTTAGAGCTCAGATGGTAAACACACACACACACACACACACACACACACACACACACACACACACACACACACACACACACACACACACACACACACACACTCTGTTCTGCTGCTCACAGTGAACAGGACAGAGTGTGCAGCTGCAGAAAGGATGACGAGTATTAAAATGAGCCAGTTGGCAGGAAAAGCTCAGAGTTTAAAGCTGCAAATAAATCTGAAAACAGACGTTTCAAAGCTTTCAAAGCAGAAATTTCTCCGAATACTAAACAAACACAAACATGATGTAAATGATATTAAATGCACTGCACCAAAAACCCTGTGAGACGTGATCTGAAACAGTTTGAAAACACAGACTATGAAGCAACGTTACCAGGTTAAGGCAGCCGTGTTGAGCTTAAAGTCCGACTTTTAAGTGTTACAGAGGTGCTTTACCTCTCTAAATCACCATGGTAACTGATGATGTACATACTACCTGTTTGGGAGAAGATTATGTGTTTGAAGTTTTAGTTTAAAACGATCTTGAAGCACCACATTTTCCCCAAATCTTTGATTTACAGCAGAGAGTACACATTATACACTCAGAGGCCACTTCATGAGGTACACGTTGCTAGTACGAGGTTGAGCCCTGTTGTCCTGCTGAAAGTGACCTTTGGAAGATGGATACAGTGTAGTGATAAGAGGATGGACATGTTCAGCAACAATAGGTAGCATCATTTAAACACCACGGCCTAAGAGGCCCAAGCTGTTTCACCACCAGCAGTTTGAACAGTTGACACGAAGCTTCATGTTGTTTAGGCCAAATCGTGACACTGAAGTCTTAATGTTGCCGAAGTCGCGACTCATCAGACCAGGAAACATGTTTCCAGGCTTCTGTTGTCCAGTCTTGGGCAGCCTGTGTGGACTGTAGCCTCGGGCTTCTCGTAGCTGACAGAAAGGACACTGTGTGGTCTGAGGTTGGACTAGCTGTTAGCTCAGAGATGCTCTTCTGCTACGGCTGTAACCAGTGTGTAACAAACCCACAGCAGGCCCGGGTGCATCTTCATGCTTTCTGCTTACAATATTCACACGGTTGCTGTAACAGCTGCCAGCCGTACACATCACCACCAACAACCACTAATGACAACAGCACAGCTGTGATTGCAGATCAGCGCAGGTGCGTCCATCTCACCTGCAGCAGCATCGCAGACCACGCCTCGCCACACAGTGCTTATTTGAGTTACTGACGTCTGACCTCAGCGAGGCACGTTTCGCCCAGAGAACTGCTGCTCACTGGATATTTTCTTTTTCGGTGGGAAAATCCCAGCAGATCCTGAAATATTCCGACCGTGCCGTCTGGCACCAACAACCTCGCCACATTCAGAGGCACTTAAATCACCTTTTGTTCCACATGCTCAGCTTTAACTTCATCACGTCGTCTCGACCGTGTCTACATGCCTACATGCATAGAGACGCTGCCCTGTGATTGGCTGACTGTGTATAGCTGCATGCATGTAGCTAGTACCTGACTCCCATCACTAAGTTAAGCAATGCATATGTTTGTGTTTCATTGTCACTGACATTTGCATGTCAGAAATATACAAATATGTCTGTTTTCATCCTTGAGCTGAGCATACTCTGCTGCAACTGCAGTTACTAAGAACAAGAGTGCTGTGCAGCCGCCATGGTAGAGATAAGTCAACAACAAGATAAATGAATTCACAGCTTTAATGATTTCATGTCTGATTTGCATCATCAGTGTTCCACATACTGAATCTTTGTGTCTGCTCTGATCATGTCTCTGATGGCAGACGGTGGTGCTCAGCTGAAGAAGAGTCAGACTGAGCCTGAGCGACAGAAACAAAGTAAACTCTGTTTCTCAATAAAGAACGCTCCCCAGATATTATGAGTGTTCATGTATAGAAAGAGCAAAGCGGCTTGATTGTGACTGATGAGCTCAAAACTGCACATCTGTGAAAACCATCAAATTGTCATTATTGACATCATTTGATTATTTGCACAGAAACCTATTTTAGACTAAAGGTTATTTATCTGTTCATAAAAGTTCTTTTAACGGTGAAATATTAAACCGTGGTTAATCTCACAAATCATTTCCATCATCTAGATCTGCCACCTGGATTTAAACACTTAAATGTGTTGTAAAAATGTCTGTTTAACATTGAAAAACACTGAATATGAAGCATATGCCTCGCAGTTGTATTAATCCACCGCAGAAAATAGTCCCCAGCAAAATTCACAGTTTTCTTGTGTGAGGGTTCAAATCTGGTGTTGATCCGTTTGAAAAAGTAACCTTTATGTTTATGGGTGTTTTATTAGGTCATTAAAAGGAAGCAAAGGCCAAGAAGATGCTTCAGTTATGTCTCACACAAACATCTGTGCTGTCCTGCTCTCCTCTGCTCATCTCCTCCTTCACCTGTTTCCTCCTTTTCTCCTGCAGCTAATTCTTACATCTGCTATGCGGCCGCCCCAGCCGTGCTCCTCCTCTTCCTCCTCCTCTGTTTCCACTTCTCCTCCTTCCTCTAACCCCGCCTCGGCTCAGGTGAGCAGCCGAGCAAATGTCTTTATATGCACGTGAATGCATCTTTTGAACTGACCTTAGACGGTAAATGCAAAAAGCTGACTTCTTTACACAGTCGTCTGAAACACACGAAGCTCAGCAAGCACAGCGAGCAAGCGCAAGCTGCTGCCCCTAATCTTCCAGAGGCTGGCCAATCACAAGAAAGCTCCATTGTAGGAAGGAGGGGTCTTAAAGAGCCTGGACGGTCACACTATATAAACTATTTGTGAAATCTTCCGACCTGACCTCAGACAGAGCTGCTTTTTTCAGTAACTTTCAGTCATTTAATGAAATGCAAATTTGGCATTTTTAGCATGTTTAGTCTCCGTAACTACAAAAGTACAGGAGACGCACACGTGAAGAACACATTCAAGCTGTGGTAAAAACTGCCCTGAGTCCCAGTGCTGCGATCTAAAAGCAGAATCTGGTTTCTTTGAGCAGCCGTGCGCATGCGTGTCCCGGCTCTGAGACCTGGATGTTTGATCTGTTTTCTGATCGTTCGCTGGAGAAATGAAAGGGTTATGTCAGCGTGTGGGATGCGTGCCAGCTCAACAAAGTCTGTTATATGAGAGGTAACCAGGCTCAACTACTACCCATAATTCCTTCTGGGTGAAATACACTCCTCTCACACGTTGACTGTAACAGACGGCTGTGACTGGGATCAGGATCAGTGGACGATCTCTCCACAGTTGGTCCTCAGACCCACAGCAATAGGAAATGTGATCTTGTTTTTCTGTTTTTGTTGGTATTGTTTTTGTATTTCTTATTTTCACCTTGTGAACAATCAGAAAATGTCCGACGTTTAAGACTAAATCTGCTTCAGAGAGCTTTTTTCCTGCTGCCTGTAACATACCCGCCCGCCCTCGCTGGTAACAGTTGCTAAGCTGTGACTGGATAGCCAACGCCTTGGTGGGATCTAACTGAACATCTTTGTGTCCCTTCCAGCTCCAGAGTCTCACCTTGAGGCCTCCTCCCCCCGGGACTCTCGCCATCCCTCCTTCCCTACGCCTCAAGCCCAACGCCACGGCCCCGCCTCCCCTCTCTCGACCTCAAGCCCCCCTCTTCCCGATTCTCAAGCCGCGACCTCAGTCCAGCATCACAGCAACGGAGTGTCCAACCACGCCCAGCCGACACCTCGCCGTGCCGCCTCCAAGTAGGTCCCTGAAGGGTGTGATGAGGCCGGATGAGTACGCTCCTCCATGTGAGGGTCTTACATAGAGACGAATATATTCTCATAAATTATTATAATTCTGCACTTTCAGTCAGCTGATGCTGCGTTTGCAGGTTTGTTTTATTGATATTTGATCCTGTTTGAGTTTATTGGTGGATCCAGCTCTCACCCTGGCAGTGACTAACCGGGGGGACTGGAGGGAGGTGTGTTTCAAAGTTTCAAAATAAAAGCCATCAGTGGAAGACCAGTATGCTTTCAAAATGATAACAGTTGCTTCAAGGCCCTTTATATTGTAAGGTAGAGACTCTACAATAATACAGAGAAGCCTGAGCAATGAGACAAATCCCTGTAGGCGAGCACTTGGTGGGAAGGAAACCCCCTCATATCAGGAAGAAACCTCAGGACTGGTCTCAGGACCGGGCAGCCATCTGCTGCAACGGGTTGGAGGTGAAGAAAGGAGAAAAGACACAAAATAAAAGCCTCAAATTACATATTGGATGTTATCAACACTCTGAACCTTTCAAAATAAAAGCCTGCAGTTTAAAGCCGTCTGCATCTCTCTGCAGCTGTTCTGGCAGCAAGCCACAGTCTGGTGTTAGCAACAATCACACTTGTGGTGTGAGATTGCATGTTTAGTTTTTTTCTACAAGCAGTGAGTAAACTAAAAAAAAATCGTTTCAAAATGAGCGTTTTATACTTTCAATCATTTTTTGCCTTCAGTTTTTAAAGAATTACATTTTTTAAATAGATATTTTTCTTTTTTCACTATTTAATTTTGGTTACTTTTAAAACAAGAAAGGACAAACTTACTGCTTTTAGCTGTTCAGAGCCGTCTTTAGCTGCACTGCTGTGGTCCTGTGTACCGTTTCATTTCAGTAATAATTCCTCTCTATTACCCGGAGACGTCAGAGCTTCGGTTTACCCTCACAGAACACAACAAGTCAGTTTTCAGCATGTTTGCCGTCATTGTCTGCAGCTGAACTCATAAATCACTGGAAGAAAACTGCACTGTGCTGCAGAACAAAGTAAATTGAATCATGGGTCTTGATATATTTTGCAGCCTTGAGAGATGAAAATCAGAAAACAAAAACATAATAAAATTTGCATTTGATCATCTAAATAATTCAGAGTTTTTGGAGCCACTGAAAGGAAATGTTTAAATCTTAATGTGAGAAAGTTTTTCAGCCAACACCCTGAATCCTGCAGCCTGCTGTGCATCAGCAGATTACAGTGAAGCACATGAGAATTAAACAACATGCACGAGTGGCAGTCTGTCATGTATCAGATCATTATTAGTCAAATCCCTCATAGTTTAATGGTTTCCTCTTCATGCTCGTCTCCCACAGCTCTCTATTCTCCGGTTCGAGCCGTCCCTCTGAGACCCAGACTTCACTCTCCTAACGGTCACAGAGCGGCGTCACCTCGACAGACCTCGGCCCTCCAACCAATCGCTGCTGCTCCCTCCAGCCAGGCGTCTTCCATCAGCCGGCCGCTGGTGGGACTGAAGAGCTGTCCGTTAACTCACAGCCCGGTATCTGTCTCCAGCGCTCTGTCAGCTGTGCCGCATTTTGAGCGCTCGTTGTCTGCAGCGAAGCAGCTTCAGATCATCGCCCTCTCTTCGGGTCGCCAGCCACAGCCGGGAACGTACACGCATGCTTCGGTGCAGCCGCCGCCTCCAGCGGCAGAGTCACCTGAGGTTTCCGCCCAATCAAAGAGGACTTTGAGCACTGAAGACGTCCTTCCTCCTCCTCCTCTGCCTCCTTTAAACCCCTCGTTGCCAAAAACCACCTCTCCTCTGCCCTCACCTCCATCCCTTCTGAGTCCAGCCTCTCCGCAGAGTCAAGCTGAGCCCCAGCCGCAAAATCTGACCCAGAAGGTGGAGGTAAAGGAGGCTGAAGAGCAGAGAAAGAGAGCTGCAGCTGTGAGACAGGAAGTCAAAGATGAGGAAAGCATTGCTAAAGACCTGAGAGTGGAGAAAGATGACCAAAGAGAGAAGGTGAAGGAGGAGGAGCCCAGTGAGGAGCAAATCAGCCAGGAGGTGCAGGAAGTTAGCCGAGAGGAAGATCAAATGGAAGTGACAGAAGAAGGCCAAAGTGAGAGAGAGAGGAGAGAGGAAGGCAAGGACAAGAAGATGGAGGAGGAAGAGGAAGGAGAGACTCCAATGGACCAGTCTGAGAACCAGACGGCACAGCTTCCCCATCAGTACCACAACACGGACCCTATCCCGGAACCTGATCCTGTTAAAGACTCCACTGTGGACTCAAAACCCATCACGGGTCTCATTTCAACTCCACTTCCAGTCCAAACTCCAGCACCAGTCCCGGTACCAGAGCCAGCTCCAGTCCCCGAAGCCTCTGCCCAGAGTCAGAGGCTGCCAGAGCCCCAGAAAGACCTTCAGCCCGTCAGCCAGGAGGACTTCTGTGAGAACATGTCGACCCAGTCCGACAATCAGTCAGGTACCGTGACCAGCTCAGACGCAGCAACACTTAGTGCTCATATCTGTGTGTTTACACGAGGCTTTGCATTAAAGCGTTTTCCACAGCTTCATCTGTCCGAGCTGTGCTCCCTTAAAGGCTCCACATGATTAGTTGTTTTTACTCCGCTCGTCCTGGAGAAGCACACATGGTCGGTGCACAGTGTGCAGCCAGCAGCAGCTTCTGATGCTTCAGGCTACAAAGCAATTGAGCTGTTGAGCAAACTGTCGTCACAGGACGTCTGCAGGAATAACAGTGGTGCAGTAAAGGCTCGCTGCTACCTGCTGCTCACTGGTGAACATTAGTGTCCTGCTTTGTTTTCGGCTGTAACTTCATGCAATCAATGCTTTTTTCAAAACATGTTCCTTTTCATTTTCAGTCAACTCTTTTTTCTTTCTCTGCTCCTCACAGCGTTGTCCAGCCTCTCCTCTCAGTCTCCCCCCTCCTCACCCATCACCACTCCTTCGGCAGAAAACCCTCCTCCTCTCCTCCCGGCGCACACCGCCCTCCCGACTGACCTCAGCCTACCGCAGCATGAGCCAGCGAAGGTGGACAAAGCAGGTGGCGAGCAGCAGCCCCCCACGGAAACTGAAGCAGAGCCTCTCGGACAATTGGAGGACGAGTCAGAGAGCTTCAGCCAATCACTGAGCAGCCCCTGGGAGCCAAGGCCGTGGCCTGAGGGACGGCAGGTTCTCACCCACCTGGTGGAGGGATTTGTCATCCAGGAGGGGCTCCAACCGTTTCCTGTAAGGAGACGTTTGTTTTACATCACAAAGGCAGAAAAAGTGAAGTTAGAATTTTAGTTTTGATGCTTTTAGTGTGAAATAAGTTGGTGTTTAATCTCCTCAGGCTTATTTAAGCATTTCCTAAATAAATTGTGGCTCAGCTGACAGTTCAATCTGGGTTTTACAGTTTATCACCTTTTCTTGGGTTTCCCTTTCTTAGAGACGGCAAATATTACAATTTTGTTACTAAAAGGGGAAAAAAGTCAAAACCTTTCTCGTGTATGAACGTAGAATAAGTTCTGGGTGGATGTAAACGGATTCCCTCCTTACTGCGATTACCTTTTCAGCCACAGGCGGTGCATTTATACTCTCCTTATTTCTGTGGTCCAGGTGAACCGCTCATCCCTGCTGGTTCCAGAGCAGGTGCCCAAACCGCAGGAAGTGAATGGGACCAATGGGAAAGCGGCGCTGCCTGTAACGGAAACGATAAAACAAACTGAGCACTCCACAGACTCGGACGAAGAGGAAGGAGGAGACACGGACGACCCTGGGAGCAGTAAGGAGCAGTTTAACTTTTAAACTTCACACCTGCTCGTTTATCTGCTCTGAAGTCTCGGTGCATGAAAGTGCTGTTGGTAAGAGCTGCAGAATAGACCAGCCGCACCCACGTCATACTGTCACCAAATCAACAACAAAGATTCATCCCAGAAAACTCAAAACAAAGCAGCTGACGCATTTTCCCTGCAGCTGTGAGACTTTAAATGAGAGCAGAGCTGATTGAATCAAGAATAAAAACATAATTCTTGCAGTTTTTATATAAGACTAGCAAGTTTAATATTAAAGGCAAATCAATCAGGCTTAAAGAAAACATATAAAAAGGGTTTCTCGTGGCTGCACACCAAACAAGTCTTGTTCTCTAAAAACGGTGAGAGATCTTCTATTTCTTGTCTTGACGCAGCGATTGGTCCGCAGGCTCTAACAGTGAACCAAACCGGAGTTTCTGCATTGTGGCACAGCCTCTGCCCACCCCTGTAAACCTGTCCCGTCATGTTCTGCACCTGCAGCACTGGGGCTCATTCAACACATGAACAGGCTAAACACTAAATACAAGCTGAGAGCAGCCCTGGGACTGTGCAGTGAAAGTGTGTGTGAGACGTCTAAGAGGTCAACCACTTTTAATACCCTGAAAACTCGGCGGTAAACCTGACGTTTACCCCACACATGCCCGAATCCTGCTCTGCTCACGTCTGTCACTCTGCTGCTGATGTGGTAAATGTGGGAGCTGTTAGTCTTCTAAACCAGCAGTGGGAACCATGTTAGACTCTGTGTTTCTCAGCTTCACCTCCACTGTGTCCCTCTCACAGGGTCGGGCCACAGAGACCGAACGGTGCTGCACTGCCAGTTCTGCGGGAAGAGGGGCCACGCACACAACTTCATGCGCTCCAAACGCTTCTGCTCCACTTCCTGTGCACGCGGGTAAGGCCTCGCTTCATTGGCTTAAGCGCTAAAGAGGGCAGCTGTGATGTCACGGGACCTTTACACAGCGTAGGGGTGCTGCAGTCGCAGCAGCAGCGTGACAGGATGTGGTGTGTGTGGCCTGCGTGGAGGCGCGCAGGTGTCAGATGCAGATACGAGTGTGAATGAAAGCAGCAGAACGAGGAAACATCACCACGTGTCTCTGTGCTTCTCCCCTTCCTCCTCCCCCCTCAGGTTTAACGTTCGACTGACGAAGCGTCTGCGAGCTCTCAGCGCAGGAAGCCGGTCAGAGAAGCCTCGTCCTGCCCTCAACCGGGCGGAGTCAGTCCCTGGGAAACCCCTGCTGCTGCGGCTGGTAGGGACGCTGAACTCGCCAACAGCTTAAAAACAGCAAACAGAGAAGTGCTGAGATGTTTTAAAGAGCCACACTCTGTTAGAGCTCCTGAAGTGAACGTACACATGCACCGGCTGTATTACAGGAGGCTGATTTTCCAAATATTAAACACATTTTTATGCTTTTATTGATCTTTGTGATGTTTATTTGATGGGTTACGTTCCTACAAAAACGCCACTCTGCGTTTGTAGCTTCATATCTTTTGTAAACTTTTTAAATTTCGTCCCAGAAAAACTAAAAAACACTGAAACTAAACTGAAACAAACACATGAATTAAAAATACTTAGTAGTGTAAAACTACATTAGCTCAGTTAGTCGTGTGCAGTGGATTTTAGACTTGGTCTCATGAAATGAGCCATTTGAAGCCATCTGTGGTTCAGTGACAGCCGACGGCCTTTAGAGGGCAGCAGAGAGCCGAGAACTCAGGAAGCTCCACCGACAGACAGAAAACAGACGCCCAGTTTTAAGTTCTAAGCAGCCACTTTATTCAGTGACACCTTCCTTGTACTCAGTTGGAACTGCGTTTGAGTCGAGAACTTTCTCATAACTCACAGATTCCTCTGAGGTGTTCGTCCATGTCGACATGATAGCATCACACAGTTTCTACATATTTATCGCTCCACCACATCCCACGTGTTCTCTGCTGGAGTGAGAGCTGGTGACTGTGGAGTCGTATACAAGTAACCAGTTTGAGATGATTGAGGTGGAGTGTGGGGTTTAAATGATGCTGCGCTGGTGCTGCAGGGCCCCACACTATCACCCCAGCAGCCCCTGAACTGCTGATATCAGGCAGGACGTTTCCTGGCTTTTACATTTCTTACACGCTTTGTTTCCTTTCAGCCTCGTGATCTGTGGAGCGCCGGTCAGCGGGAGAAAGATGGAAAAGAAAAAGCGGCGGCGGCAGAAGAGGACGAAGATGAAGACGATATGGTGGGAGGTGGAGGCAGGGAGGAGGAAGACGATGACGGAGGAGAGGAAGATCCCGCTGTCGCCATGACGGCTAGGATGGAGCGTCGGGCGGCTCGGAGAGCGAGGAGGGCGTCGGCGCCGGCCGTGACCACTTCCACGCCTACCACCACGTTTAAGCCAGCCCCCTCGCAGTGGAGCGTGGAGGAAGTCACCGCCTTCATCCACACGCTGCCAGGTAAACATGAGCTGATGCCCCACACGTAGAGCTTCTCCCGGGACCTTTAACTCAGAACCGTCGGTTTGATTTACGCCACACTCCGTGTCTTAATCGCTCACAGCTTCTTCGTATCCCCCAAGTCCCATTAAAGGTTTCGCAAAATGCTGAAATTAACTGCTGAGTGAAGTAATGTGAAGAATACTTCCAACCACACAGCGTCAGACTCAGCGAGACTGCTGTGAAACATCTGGGAGAGAAACTGAACCTCTGTTTCACAGCTAAACTGAGTCTTTCACATGAGATGATTCTGTAGTAAACACTGTTAGCTGCCTTTAATATTCATCACTGTCACTTTATTTCTAAGAGAAGATCAGATGTGGCTCTTAGAGTTATGCAGATCTCTTCTGGTCGAAACATTCTCCAGACTCGTTTCTGTTAGAAATAAAGTGGATAAACTGATCCTGGATGAACAGTGTGAAACATGTTACTGTAACAAACCAAATCTTTGTTTGTTGGGTCGTTTGTCCACAAACTCCTCCCACACGATCAGGATTTGAGGAACCAAACAAGGGCTCAGGTAGAACTTGGGCTGCTGAAGGTTCTTATCAGAACCTGCATCACATTATTTCATCATGTGGCCTAAAAACCACCAACCAATCATTTAATTGTTGAGTTTATGAACCTTTAAAAAAATGTGTTCACAGGAAAGCCACCAAAATCTAACTTGAAATGGTGTCTTTATGCGTTTTTTTATTAGCAGCCACAAAAAGTCATACAAACACATCATGTGTTTCTACTTCTTTAGTTAAATCTACAAAATAATCCCAAAGTTGACACGTTTGAATGCATTAAATAGCTTTTCTGCACAAACAAAGTGATATTAGCCAAAATTAGCATATCTCAGCACAGTGTGCAGTGTGTCTTTAAAAGATTTGAACACAGTAAAGTACCATGTAATACCTAATCCTAGTCCTAGATGTCGTTGTTACAGCTATCCTCGCGTATGGAAGCGCAGCATGGACAATAAACAAGGAAGCTGTGGACATGAGTGCATCAGGGGTGTGCTTCATCAAGAGGATGATAAGAATATTGTACACCAAAATACTGATGAATGAAAACACCAAAAGCTCTTAATATAAAAACAGCAGAGCAGTGACTTGTGACAGAAGGACAGCAGCAACAGTGAAAGGGGAAAACTGCAGTTCCTCTAATGTCCACTCGAGGCTCCAAAACAGAGTCAATCCCCACAGACTAAACTTTGCAGGAGTTTGGAGGTGTTTTTATTAAAAGTCAAGAGTTTAGATCGTTATACGTGACTAAAGTCAGGGCCATGGCTACTTTCTGTGTGACTGAACAGAATCATTTGCTCAGTCAGACACCGTCAGTGTTTTTAAACTCTCCGCGTTGCTGTTTCAGGCTGCAGTGACGTAGCGGAGGCTTTCCGGGTGCAGGAGATCGACGGCCAGGCTCTGCTGCTGCTCACCGAGGACCATCTGATGACCAGCATGAACATAAAACTGGGACCTGCTCTGAAGATCTGCGCTCACATCAACGCACTGAAAAACCAATGAGAGACAAAGAAAAAGAGAAACAACGTGAGGAAAAGAGAAAGCGTTTAAAATGGAAGAGGGAAAAAAGGCAATAAAGACGCGAGGAAACGAGAGAAGTCAAAAGCTGACACCAAGGATGACAGAGCAAAGTCACAAAAAGAGATTTGTGGGAATTTATAATTCATGAGATTATAAATCTAGGCGTGGCCTTAGCAGATGGGAGCTGGAGAGGAGTGCGGGAGCATGACGACAGCAGAGTCCATGAGACGTCTCACCAGTTTTGGGCCCTCCGACTGTAGCAGGAGACGGGGGGGTTTTGTAACTTTGTGTATATTTTACATGCCGCTGGAGAGTGTACATTTGAAGCTATTTGATGAAGGATTTTGAACATTTAATATATAAAATTTGTCTATTTAGTTTTTTTAGAACGTGACGTCAGCAACAAATCTATCCAGTAGCTAAACATAACCCGTGTGTGTACAAGGAAAAAACAATAATGCGTAGACTTTGTAAGTGATTAATGAAAGTTTAATGTTTTATATCACTATATTCTGGACAAAGACATGTCTGTGTATTAAAAAAGTCACTATCAGGGTAGAGGCTGGTGTCTTCAATCGTCACATTTTTATGGTATCCTGCTTGAAATTATTTAATAAATGAATAATTGATCATCAAACGATTTATTTATCTTGTTTTAAATTAATTCCCAAGTAAAACAGCTTTTACTAGCCCAGTGAAAGCAGGCTTTCTAACAAAAATGTGCGTAAACACTTCAGACACGTGGAGCAGATGTTCCACTGAGGAGCAAACGTCGGGCCGCCTCCTGGTTTCATGGATGAATAAAATGCTAAAGTTAAAGTTGGCACAGTTTCACAGTGTAGTGGTTATCAGACCCACTTTGTCGGGGTGTGGAGCGATTGAGAGGTTTTGGGATCCCCCGTAGTGCAGTTTACCCCAGTGCCTACAACCTGGCTGCTGCAGGTGTAGAAGCTCTGGGGTTAACTTAGGCTTAGAGGCTTAGAGCGGTCCTAAAACTATCCTCAGCAGATGGACAACATCTGAGAGACGAGACGACTATCAAGAAGCATTTTTAGCGCTTCATGCTCTGGGGGCGGGGCTATGGCTCCCCACAGCCTCCAGCAGATCGTTACATGGAGAAACCTTTTGAACTCGGGCACGTTCACACACACGGATGCTCACAGACACAAACTATATCTTCCTCGGCTTCTACCTTGAAGCATATCGTGCGCTGTCGCTCTTGTGTGCTGCTCAGTTGCATTCAGCATTTAGTAGTTACTGTTACTTCCACGTATCTAGGTCGTTGCTTTGATCTCTGTATTCTGTTCTATTGTTTGTTTTCTTCTTTTAACAGCTGATTCAACAGATTCTCTCAGAGTCTTTCTTTCTGTTCAATTTGTAATAACTTAAAGTAAAATAAAATAAATAACCAATAGTAATAGAGATCAATCAAGTGCTGTATTATATTGGACAGAAAAACACACAGAGTCCAGACCTCAACATTACTGAAGGATGGTGGCTGAGAACAGAACAAACACAGAAATCGTTTTCAGTCAGATGTTAAGGTTTTAAATGATTTTGAGGTTTGGAAACTTTAATATTTTATATATTTTATATATTTTATATATTTTATATATTTTATATATTTCATTCTTTACTGGGAAACCGTCCTGTCATCCAGGAAACACAAACCCAGGCTGAAAATCACCTTCATCAAATGATTGGTTTAAAATGATAATAAAAAAGGTTTTTTCTAATATTTAGTTGTGAATCCTTATTTTTAATCAACTGGTGTGAATAACGACAACTTTTTTGTTTAGATTGAATTGTATTTTAAAATATTAATATTTGTAATGTTTTTAATAAAGCACCTGAGAACTTCCATATACTTTAAGCTGTACTTTAAGACGTGTCATTCACTGAACATTTCTGCTGATGTCCCAAACTGAGTGGACCTGAGCAGATTTCGGCAGAAGTGCTGCTGATGGGATGGCGGGACCACCAGCAGAGGGCAACAGAGGTGCAGGTGAGTGACACATGAGGACAACTCTGGACTTTATGAGCTAAACTGATTTAGCTTCATCAGGAAGGCTTTAGGTGATGCTTGTTTTTCTGTCTGAGCCTGCCTTTCTCCCCGTATCTGGTTTAGGTTAGGATCTCACATGTGCTCCCATTGGCTTTGGAGAGGAGTACGGTTTCCACCACACCCTGTGATAAATCTTATTCTGGGCATTTTTCTCGTGGATCAGCTTCAGGCGCACTGACGGAACAGGACTGCTTTTAAATTTAGACTTTTAAGCTTTTTAAACGTTGTTTAAAGCTCCAAGTCAGAGAAAAACTGTCTGCAGTTATTTCTGAATATATATCAGTTTTTGCTTTATTCCAGTGGTTTTTGTTTTCCGGTGTTTTTTGTTGCTTATTAGACAATAACGCAGTCATTTAAACTCTTTTTGAGTCTTTGGCCTATAAAATTTTTCATTTTTAAACTTTTTAAACTCCCGCAGACGTTAAAAAAAAGAGGAAAGCGTTTCTGAATTTAAAAACAGGCTGAATTTCTTTATCTTTCTCTTTTGGGGCGCACGGTGCTCACCATGTCACAGATGCGCAGGCAACTCCTTGGCACCGCGGCCAGCGGAGTGGGCTGGGTGGGGGTGATCGTGGCCACGGCCACCAACGACTGGGTCCGGACCTGCGACTACACCAAGGCCACCTGCGTCCGCATGGACGAGCTGAGCTCCCGAGGCCTGTGGGCAGAGTGCGTCATCTCCCCGTCCCTTTACCACTGCGTGGGCCTCACCCAGATCCTCACACTGCCCGGTGAGATGCGCCAATAAATGCTCTAATACATGATGTGCGTGACGAGATCTTTCAAGTGTGTTTAGCTCACGTTTGCTGCGTGGGTCTGCGGGAGGCAGCGAGTGAGCCGAGTGGCTGCGTGTCAACAAAACAGTTTACGCTTTATATTTAGAGTTGGATTTATTACAGTTAAATATTTATGGTTATTTCACGTTATTAACATTAAAATATTAAGTTATCGACACATGTATTTAAACCGGAATTCTTGTTTACCAACAAAATATATTCGTAACAAGATTTTTTCTTTTTACAGTTTATTCAATATGTTCAGCGAACAGTCTCGTTCATCAGAATACAAATAAAAATGAACAAATACAGTTTTTCACAGCGTTTGTGAGAAACTTTGCTGTTTGTGTTTGAGCATCAGAACATTTAGGTACTTACTTTATTTTATAGCAGAGTTTATTTAATGAGGAAAGACAGAATTTGCTTTTAAATTGTGAAGATGTTGTAAATAAGTCTTACCTTTTATAAGAACATCAGTCAAATATCATTTTAATATGAATTTAATTTTTTATATTTATATTTATTTTGAAGCTATAATCGATCATAAACTGCTTTGACACACCTCTATAGACCACTTTGATATACAGCAATCACACAATTTATGCTCGTACTCAATAACTTTTATTGTGAAAGGAAGGATGGGAAGAACAAACACTTGTGGAAACTATGGTAACTTATAAGCTTTATTTAAAGAAACAAATATAACTGGTTATTTAAACTCTTTAAATTAAACAGCTTTATGGTGTAAAACATTGTTCATCATATTTCAATAATGTTTTCTCAGTCCTCTGTTTATAGGAGTATAGTTCTATTCTCATTATAAATACTGACTATTAATTTCACACGTTTCATATCAAACTATAAACAACAATGTAAAAGCCAATTTTTCCACTTTTTGAGCTTTTAATTTGTTTACTACCAAACAAACCTTCTGCACGTTTACCAAACAGTGCATAACATAATTAAAGGAATTTATCAGCCTTTTGTTCACTACTCAAAAACACAGGACGACACTCGGCCGTCAGAATATAACACAGTCAGTTAAACTTCGGGGATTTTGATCTATGTTGTTAGGGACTGAACTTCTGGGCATCCATCTCACCCACTTAGTGCAAAAGTAAAGTGCAGCAGGTGGAGAGACAACAAACCCAAAATGGGAATGGTTTAGCAGGTGGTGGCCACAGACTATTTCTCCTCCTTGTCCCCGCTGACTGATTTTTATCTAGATGTGCACTTTGGGCGAGTCATCGTTTAGCCTGGATTAACAAAGAAAGTTGATACCAGTCATCTCTGACAGGTGGTTCCAGTTAACAGATCCAGCTAACACAGAGAAGCCTGCCAAAGGTTGAGCTTTCTTCTGGTGGTCCTTTGCACAGTTGTTGAGATTTCTGTAGATCTTAACAGCTTGACAGAAAATGACTGGACTTCTTTACGTGCTTTAAGCAGCCTCTTCAGTTCTAAACCAGAAGCCTGAGAGTCCCAGGTGTTTAAAACCTAGTGGGGTTTGTCTCTCATGAGCTTTTGGAGAAATCATTAACACCAGTGTTTTATTACTTTGGATTTATTCTCTGTGTGTTCAGTGAAGACATGAAGAGTGACGTCCGACTGTGTTTGACTGTAACTCAGAGCAAGATTAGACATTACTTTCTGAGTAAAGTAATCTGGCTAAAGAGGCTTTTTCTTGCATCTTCTTCTTGTCTTCGGTGCATGCAACACGTGTGCACATTCCTAATGTGAGCAGCGCCTTGTTGAGTGCCAGAGGTGAGCTGTGCTGAGAACGTTAAACCAAACAGATGCTCTCTCTGCCTCTCAGCCTACGTCCAGACAGCTCGTGCTCTGATGATCTGCGCCTGTTTGCTGGGTCTCCCCGCCACGCTCCTGATCCTCATGTCCATGGCCTGCGTGCGGCTGCAGAACGACACCTCAGCTGTGAAGAAGCGCCGTGCCCGAGTGGGAGGCGTCCTCTTCATCTTCATGGGTGAGGAGGCCACACACACACACA